ATAATTCTACCGTAGATCCAGAGACATTTACAATTTTTTTGATTCAGCTCTTTGTAAAAAAAGGTTTCCATCGATGCTCTCATTAGTTTTCCGAAAAATTGTACCTTTGAATGGGCTCTTGAGAGGCATTCTCGACGATGAGGGTTTTGAGTGAGATGAGTAATCCGATTCATATCCCTTCTCCAGTGGTGATTGGTTCTTCTCAGGAATTACGGTATCCTTGTATCCATCCCCCACTCTATCGTCAGCGTTCCAGCTCTTTCTTCGCATAGAATCGATTTTCTCTTGCCTAAAAATCCATTGGAAGGTATACCAGATGCAAGTTGTTTCCAAATAGTTTTTGGTTACCTATGGAAATGTATTTCGAATGGAGAGCATTTAATTTTTGATTGATGAGAAGATGGACAGTTCCAGATAATTTTTGAGATAGGGTCTTGTAATCTATACTTTTGAAATTTTTGGGCCATTGCCAAACATTTGATTTCTTACAGAATGTACAAAGTTTTCAACTAATCCGTTGGAGCGATGATCTCCGACTGTACAAAATATTAATTTAAAATTGTTCGAGTCACAAAATTGATTAAAATACTGACTTGTAAAATAGGATGCGTGATCGACTTGAATGGAGTAAGGTATGCCGTGAAGGAAAATATAATTTCGAAGAAATTCGATAACTGTTTTTGTCAACGTAACTCTTTTTTGTGACAGCGAAGGAAACGAACTCAAGAAACTGCTAAATGTTTGGCCTCGGGAAAGAGAATCAAGTCATTTTAAATGTTCAATTTGACTCTGCTAGCCCGGTCAAGAAAAACGTTTTTCAGAAACTCAAATTACGATATCTACCGCCCAAAAAAGACAAGGAAATTGATCATATCTTGAAGAACTTCAAGCAATTATTCCTTCAGATTGGGAAAATTAAAAATAAGATGAGAAGAAATTCGATAACTGTTTTTGTCAATATGGATGTAGAAATTTTTGCTAATAGAAATTTTGAAAATCCATCGATGCATAATAAAATATATTTGTTTGTGCCCAGTGAGAACCCAAAGGACTAGCGAAGTCCAAATTAAGTTCCTCCTGGGGTCAGAAAAAAGAAGAAGTTTACTTATTTGTGAATTTGGAGTTTTTAAATTCTTACTCGTCTTTGTGCATTCTGAACAGTTTATGCCATGGAAATAAATGTGTTTGTTTATACGAGGCCTGTCTCCGAATGTGTCTGTCTCCGAATTCAAATTTTTTGGCCATTTCGGCTAAGGCTGCCCAAAAATGTTCTAATGACTCTCTTTGTCGTTCCGTCCTATTTAACAACTTGTTCCTTTCAAATAAGACATTTGTTTTCCTGACAAAATGGTTGCTAAGTTTTCCCAAAACTCTTAGAAGGAAACTTGAAGTAATTTTACTTTTTTAAGTTTCTGACCAAAACTTTTCTTTCTTTCATTTCCGAGGGCTAGGTAGAATGTTGAACAGAATTTCTTGTCAGCTTCTTCTAATCTCATTCCGTTAAATCTTTTTATTTTGGTTTTGATGGATGCCGCTTCTTTGTCATCGGAGCGTTTTTGTTTTTCTCATTCCTCTCTATTCGTGGTTTTCTTTTTTTTTCCGATTTGTTCTCCGTCGGATTCTCTAGTGCGGTTAAAAATGGATGATTTCTTTCCGTCGGATATAGTAGATTTTCGTCATCAACGTTTTCCTTCGCGATAAAAGCTAGTTGGAAAAGATCGCTCCACTCTTCCCAAGGAATAGGGGGGTCGACCGTAGGCTTCTGCCAAATGAAGGTATTTCTCTCACGTTAGATTCGTTGTTTGACTGCGCCTTGATTAAATCTTACTTTGTTACAGCTAACTCTACTTGATACATTTGAAAGAAATAAAGAATAAAAGTGAGTTCATCTGAAAGATAAAAGATTAAAAAAAGAGAGAGCATTCTCTCCGCCGGAGAAAAAGAAAGTGTCCATGTCAAACATAAGTGACCGGTTAAATCAATTAGACAAAGCATGAGCTAAGTTAGATTAATTATAAAAGTGGAATCACATCACCATGAGCACTTATGTTTGGATTTTGGCCTATTGCAATTTGAAACCACTAAAACAATTCGCACTGTTCCATTCTAATGGTTTATCATTAGTCTTTTAGAGTTTAATTGAACTTGAGCTTGAATTTTTTGACACCGCATTGAAACGCTATGTGGTTCAGATTTTGATTAGTTCATTGAAAATATTGAAAGAAATAAGTCGCGATTTTGGAATGAAGTCGAAAACTATTCGAAAGAAGTTCGGTCGAAAATAGCAGAAGATGGCAAAAACTGGTCGAGGTACCTCCCAGGCAGGGGTTTAGAGAGATATTTCACTCAAAATGTTAGTGCTGGCATTTTGAAAATTTATTCTACAAAGCATCTATCCAGGGACCCAATGTTTGAAAAATACCCACTGTCATCACTGTATTGGCACATACATATAAGTATGCGGCCAGTGCTCTGGTACGTCATCGACATGTTTAGACACAAGCATTAGCAGGTTATTGTTCCGACTTTCGATACGAAAGTGACGGAATATTTGTGCTCGAGGTGGATTTTTTTTTCTTCAGACAAATTTCGACTTTTTAACTAGTCATTTTTGACAAAAATTTTTATATCATTCAAAAGGTATTGTTGTCGTGAGTTTAAATTTGAAAAGATATTTCACCTGTGATTAATTTTCGTAAAGTTATGAGGGTTTAAAAATTGCCATTTTGTCCATTTTGACCAATTTGGGACAATTAACGCGCGATATATTTCGCACTATTAACGCGTAAGCTTAAGCGGAGATTTAATCCGTCTTTTAAATCGTTCCAAATTGGTTGAAAGAAGCTTAAATGCCATAATTGTTTTGTTACAACGAGCAAAATCTATTCTTTTAAACTTTATATGGCGTGTGGGGGATGATTTCATTTAAAAAAATTCAAATTTTAGAAAAAAATTTTTTTTCATTTTTTAAAAATTTTATTTAATTTTTTAAATGTTACTACTGCTCGATAAACCTGAAAAGGCAGTCGGAATATTCAGGGCTTTACCCTGATACGAGCAGTCTTGTTTTAATTAAAATCAATTTTCACTTGATGAATACGACCATGCTTTGGCTAACTTATTATATGCCGTGCAGAGCGTTTGCTGCGCGCTTACACATCATCTGTTTTTGACAGGACAGTTTGAAAAAAAAGCAAACAAAAAAATCAAGTTGTAAAAAGAAAAGAGGAGCAATTTGCATGTGCACATGAGGAGGAGAAGAAGCAGCGACATTGGACTGCACTGGTTTTCATATTGGAATCTGAGCTGAAGTTGCAGCAGAGGAGAAGAGGAAGACTTAAGTCTAAGCAGACGCATAGAGCAGATAGAGAGAGAAGATAGACTGGTTTATCAATATATATAAATATATAAATATATGCGCAACTTTTGTTGTTTGCTTGTTGTGTGTTGTTATAATCGCACTACTGCTGATGTGTTGGTTGTTATTTTCAGTTGGCCTTTTCTCTGCCACTCTCTCTTTGCCTGCTCTAGTTTATTTCCACATACATGTTTTGGCATCTAAACACTGGAAGAGCGCTGGAAGGCACAAAAAAGGGAAACAATTTTTAACTGGTGGGGAAAGCAGGATTACTGCAGGGGGATTTGTTAATTCACAATAACATGGTGGTGCCGGAATAACCGTGACACTTATTCTGCTCATTCCGATTCCCGGGAGATAGAGGGAGAGAGATGCAAATAAGGCACAAACGGATGCTATGACCAGGCCACCCAGGCCACACTTATGACAACACGAACACGACCACGCGAGGGATGAGATTATCGCTACTTACTTCACAAGTCAAAATTAATTCTATAGCTTAGCCCAAGTAAACTACCAACATCCAAACACCCAGCAGCCAGATAACCCCGGACACCGAATCAACACACTCAAGACCCACAGACAACACCTAAGAACAACATAAAACCTAAGCAAACTCCAACACCACTTTGAATGATTCCAAAACAAAAGAAATACCCACTAATATACCTAGATTGAAATTGGCGCCACAGAGCGTAAACAGCCCATATGCCGCACCAGACTCCAACATCTGGTTTCCCATTTGTAAGTGAAATCCACTTTGTTTATTGGAAAAGGTTGTAATATTATATTAACGCATAGTATTGGGTTACCAAGTTCAAGTGAGAATATATTATCGCAATAAATTCGCCGCATCTTTTTCCCCCTTTTGATTTAAAAAAGTTTACCCTTGACTGCACAAATCGGTGGCGGCCAAAAAGGGGGAAAATTGATTAAGGGTGTGGGTAAGTTAAGAGGCGGAAGAGCAGAGCAGTAGAAAGAAGTGCATGATAATTAACATTCCCGGGGGAGTAGAAATCGTGTGGTCACTCAATCCTTCTTGGAACCCCAAATTGGTTCATCTCCCCAAATTTCATCGCAGGGCCAATTTGCACACCAATTCCCTCATTTCCATTTTAAATCAACCCGCACCCACCGTTCACTTTCTATCCATCGCATCTTAAGCTCACCTCTCATCCCGTTTATGCTTAAACCTCCGCTCCGTTTGTTTCACTCTCAAATATGTTTCTGTCAACTTGTTCTCTGCGAAACAAATCTTTTTTTTTTCTGGTTATCCCATGCCGTACTTAGTTTCGTTTTTTTGTACTTTCTTTTTTAGAATCGGCTGAACGGGTCTTAGTGGAGCAGAACTTCAGAAGACCCACTAACTCAATTAGCAGATGCTGATCTTCTGCCACTGCTGTCCAAAATGATTGACCCCTACCCTACTACTACCTTTTGGTCCCATCCCTAATTTTAAATTTTGGGTCACAATTAAAAACGTTGTCCTTATCGCCCCATTTGCTTAGTTGCAGCGCTATTTCAGTAGGCGCGACAACTAAGCACAACCGCTAAGCTTTTAAAAAGTCTTTAACTCTATTTGGGCCAATTAGCATACTTTTACCCCCACCATCTAAGTGTATAATCGTTCGTTTTATTTCAGATTACTGTCTCTCTCATCAACTGACTTGCTGTTGAGACCGATGATGATGAGGATAGGAGCTATAACAACCAAAACAACACTCAGTCCCACGGGGTTTATTTTGTTACCCTGATTACCTATTCGACATTTCACTCTTATCACCAGTCATCAAGTTACATAGAAGATAAGAAGTACATTTTCCTTATTTGTTGTTTCCTTTTTTGGCAATATTGGCTTAGATTAACGTTTATTTGTCCACTCTTTTTTGTTGACCCCTGCTGTTGATTTGGATTTGGAGCGACTGAAAATCCCCGGGGTTATTAGCGGCTGTAACTGGCACACAGGCACTGGCAGGTATGCCCAGATGACTAGAACCCAACACAGCACCAATACCCACACAAAACCCAAATCAACCCAGACTTAGAGGGGAGTGTAATTGCAAAATTGAATTATAATCTGCCCATTCAAATTCCTTCACTAGTCCCCGTATTCATCCACATATAAATTCACTTTTACTACCATCGATACCGATTGCAGCTACGTGTCTTTTCATTTCCACCGAACAACTGTCTGTGGATATAGGGCGAAAATAGCAACTAATTGCGACTAACAGTCTTCGACTGTTTAGGGTGCATTGATGTTTTCACGCCTCGTTTCATTTATTCCCCCTATTGCTTGCCATAAATTGTGAGCACTCCTCTTTTATCCCAAATCTACTTATTCCCCCAACACCAAACCACCTGTGCTAACTTCAGCAGAAGTGAACAAACCAAGTCAACATAATCGATTGCTAAAGGCACCATCCTTATCTAAAATTATTTTTTAATGCGTCATGACTTCTCGGATTATTTTGACCACACTGTGTTTCTTTTGTCTGCAGACACCAGCAGTGCATGCACAGTCATCAGGCAGAGTTCCAGTCAAAATTGGTGAGCATCATATTGTAACATTTTTGTGATTTAAAAATCTGACAACTTGTTCTCTGCGAAACAAAATTGTTAAATTGTAAAGGGATTCCACTTACAAAACTTCCCCGGATTCCGCGCACAAATACCTGTAACGTAAATTTTGTATAAATACCTGTAACGATCAAAGAAAAGTAACAATGTTGCGGATTCCGATTTTGGCAAGTTGCGGATTCCGCTTACAACGCACAAAATGCACAGTTTGGCCTCATAATGCTGGATTTTTGATTGAACGTATTCAGAAACATTTTAAAAAAAGAGAACAAATTAAAGTTTAATTTTAAAATTTTAAATGGAATGATCTAGATCTACACTAGATCTGCAATGCAATGTATAAAATGAATTGTTTAGCAGCAGCTACTTACACATTATTTGGCTCACATATTAATCACTTTCGAAAAAAACGGAATATTTATGCTTGGTGTGGTTTTTTTATTCAGTCAGTTTTTCCCGATCGAACTAATAGTTTTCAACACAATTTTTTATACCCCATTAAAGATATTGACTTCTTGAGTTCAAGTTTAAAACGATATTTACCTCCAATTTTTTGTAAAGTTCTGGGGGTTTAAAAATTGCCAAATTGGCCGCGTTCTGGATTAAATTATGCGCGCTTTCAAGAATTTAATCATATTGCTGAGAGCGTAACGCGAATTATCCATGCGTGGCGATTTATCCCGCACAACAAAATCGTTCCAAATTGAATTGAGGCTAGCTAAGGGATCGCTCGTATTTATTTGATACGACTCAAAATTTCACACTTTGATATTGTTTTAAATTTAGAGGTTTTTAAAATTTTCTTCTCCCAAAATTTATTCGATATGAATTAAGGGACAATCGGAACATTCAGGGCTTTGGGATCTTTTCGGTTATACCCGCCCCTAAACTATGAAAAATTGAGAAAGTTTTTATTTTACAATTGGGATACTATTACTAGGAAATGCACTATATTTTTATGAACTGGTAAAAACGAACCATTTTTAATTGATGGAGCCTCAAACTGACCCTTTAATCTAACTTTTGCCATTTTTCTGAGCATAAATTTCATTAAAAGGATGCTAAATGCGTTTCTAAATGTCGGTAAGTTTGCTTTTTTGCCAGTTTCTAGCTTGATTCAACGCTCGGGATATCAGTTCTGCCTTTTTAAGGAAAATCAGCAAACTTCGTAGAAAAAGATTTCATTTTTTTTATCATTCAGAGGGGTGTAACCAAAAAAACCTTGGCTTTACCCTGATATACGAGTAGTTTGGTTTTTGTATATATCTAATGCAACCTGAAAATCCGAAAAAAATGGTCAAAATCCTAATAACTTATATCGAGATAATAACATTAACGAGTTTTTTTCTTTGCATGAGAAAAGAAACTGTCTGCTTTTTATACATTTGAAAATCCTGATTGTAATTTCTGGAAGAATCTTTCAGTTGATTTCCCTCGAAGAAAATTAATGTAAAAAGCTAGCACGGATTACAGATGTCTCAAAAAATGTTCTAAAAATTGTGATACTTTATTTTAAAAAGAGATTTAGAATCCTACAGAAAGATATAAATTTTAAAATTCAAACAGTAGAAAGTTTGCAACAAAAGTAATCGATAAGAAATTTAAAAAAAAAAATTTTGACAAGCAGGTAAAAAATGTTAAAAACGCTTCCACACTCCTACAAAACTGCAAATTCCCTCAATTGATAATAAAAAGCGGCAAAAAAATTAGGCAAAGTTGATAAATCATCAAAAAATCTTGCCATATTTTCAAAAAAAGGTTGAAAAGACAAAATATACGCTGAGCAACAAAAGATAACCAAGTCCTAATAGTTTCATGGACAAATTTCCAAACTTTTCAATGCCAGTAGAAGACCAGACAAAATTTGCAGCCTATTCATTCAGCTTATTTGCGAAGATTTTTTCTTAAAAGCTGCTTCTCATAGGTGGAAAAAAAGATTTTCTCGAGACTTTCTGACCAATAAGTTAACTAAGCTTTCTAAGCAACAATTTCAAACAAATGTTTTTTGATCAAATCTTCATTTTTTCCAGAATTAAAAAAATTATCTACAAAAACGTTTCAATTTCAGACAAAAAACTCGTGTGTGGATGCTGTGGTTGAATTAATTGATTACATCGAAAATGGTGCCATAAAAAATATTGATGATTTTTGCTTTTATATTTTAAAAATAACATTCGCTACCACTAATCATAGTTACTACCAACAACATTACAAAAGCATGTTCTTTTTTTGTTCAAATAAAAAAAGTTGCAAAAAGTCATCCCATGATTCTTTGGCATTTGGAGTCCATCGAGGATTACTTTCAGAACCAATTTTGTCATCATAATAAAAGTGATAGATTTTAGATAGCGCAGTTTGCCGATTAGGAAACTGAATAGTAGATTTTAATTAAATTGTTTGAGAGTCCATCCGGGAAAAAACTTAATGAAGAAAATCGATAGTAGTTTTTCATCTGATTACTTTGCTCTTTGTACTTCAATTCAAGTGTTTTGCAATGTTTTGCAATGTTTTTGTATTAAACGAACTTACTTTTAAATCTCATATTGATTTTGCAACCGAAAATTGACCAACTTTTCAGGCCTTGCGTGGAAGGCAAACTTTTCTTTTCTACGCTACAGATGATTCATTTATACAAAGCTTCTTATGTCAACCATACGTATTCACACGTTTTGCAAATTATGACTTGAATCAATTAAAAACTTAATGGACATACCACTTTTTTTAACGTTTTTGAATGTTTTTTTTCGAACTTCCGAAAAATACGAAGAAAATATATCAAAAAATGATAACGATTTTTTTTCTCAAACTTGTATTGAACAAACCAAGAACGAAGCGTGAGGCTCTAATGCATTTTAAAAGTTTTGATAGTTTTCAAGCAAGGATTGCTTTCTGACAGGGTAGTACAATCTTTGAATTGATAAAACAAATGAATTGACACTTAGAAGCGTCCATGAAAAGCCAAAATGCAGCTTTATTAGATAAAATAAGCAGTTTCTTAGTACATACTAAAATTTTGAATCCTTTTGATTCTTTTTTGTTGAAGTTTTTTTGTAGAAAAAACACTGATAACTACACAAAGGAGAAGTTGAGCTTTGCACCACTTGCAATACTACACAAACACAAGCAAGCCGGAAACTATAACACATGTTAAGGAAACTAAGTAAACTGAATTATTTGTATGTATCAATCAATAAAAGAAAACTCGGGGCCCAGCCAGCCTAAACTTCAGTTCTGTGTTTGATATTTTTTGAATTCGTTATACCGATGCGGGACGAAATAGGTACTATCAAAAACGGTCCAAAACTTGATGTGTTTTTCTCCTACAATAAGTAAGAAAAGTGTTGAAAAATTATGAGATTATGGATTTTGAAAGGGCCTAATTTTTCGCTTACAAAAATTTAATGAGTAGCCGCTTCTGCATGTAAAAATATTACATGTTTTTAAAAACGGCCAATAGTTTAAAAATTTGACTCTCCGAAATCCATAACTTTTTCTCCTAAAAGCAGGTGTTGGCCGCTATAGCAAAGAAAATTCTCTGGATTATGCACTGAACCCGAGTGTTCTAATTGAGCCAAATAATTTCTAAATAACAAGCAAAGTATCAAAACTTAAAAGGCTATATCTTTCTTTTGAAACAATTAGGCGTAGCCAAAAATAAAGGTAGGTTTTTAACAACATGTTGTTTCGACTAAACTTGTGAAATCAGTATTGGCTAGATAATTATCAAAGAATTTCGATAAAAAAACTGTCAACAAACCAAAAACTTGACCTTTCCGCGAATCATACTTTTTTGTCAGCAAATTTGGGCGTAGCAGCTGATGGAGAAGAAAAGTTTTTGCTTAACGCACCCAAACAACTAAAAATTGTTTACATCAACTCAAAACTTTTTGGCTTTTGTTTTGCTTGATTTACCGATTTTGAAAACTTTATACGGTTTACAAATTAAAAAAAGAGACTAAAAACATAGTGAAAACTCTTTTTTTTGGTTTTGATTTATGTTTTTTTAGGAAAGTCCAATTTCACCTCACTCGTTGGCAAGAAAAAACAAGCATAACATTTTTTCTTTTAGTCTTAACTAGTATCACACCAAAGTTAATCATCATACAAGTAACGCGCCTATCATTCTGAAAAGTCTGATTTTTGTATTTGCTAGAATGAGGCTTCCTGAATTACTTAGAACTCTTATGGTCAAAATTGTAATTTGATTTCAATTTGATGTTTTACTAAAACAACATGATCACTGAAAAATGTGCAATTATCAGTTTGTAACCTTATTACAAAATATTTCTGACTAATACAATTTTCTGACAGTCATTTTATGCTGCGCTCATGTCATGAACATTTGCAAACACTAGAGAAAATTTTAATTGAATCTTCTTGTAAAATCACCCTTTCATCGAAAAACAAACAATTTTTATAGCATCGGGCCACATTTTTCATTTCAAGCAATAAAACAATTTGACCAAAATTTGAAGGTGCTAAAAAAACTTGAAACACAATTATTAAAGAAAAAATGAGTTGATTGACACCCGCTGAGAGCACAATCATGATTTTTCAGCGAGAAAGTTAGATGCTCAAGAAGTCTTCAAGCCTTAAAAAGAGATCGTATTTGTTGTAGTTGCCGGTTGTCTTTTGCCAGTAATAAACAACTTACAAATGATATGGATACTCAGTTTGCCCTCCCAACTAAAGGCAAACTGAGTTGAAAGGCTGCACTTACATGCAAGCTGCTAGGCGTAACTATGCCACCCATCACTGTTGCGCAAAACTGCGAGATTCCTGAAGTTTTATCAGTTCGACAGTGGATCAAAAAGCCACCAGAAAACATTTTTGTGTAGTAATCCCAAACTACTGAGAGTGTTGCAAAAACATCACATTTCCATTTAATGCATGGATTCTTTAAGATTACTTCTAAAACGTTCTATCAGCTGTTTTCAGTTCGTGTGATAGTATCAAGTCTCGCACCAGCT